GGATTACAGGCTTGAGCCACCACGCCCGGCTACTTTCTGTTTTCTTAACCTGACAAATAAACCTTTGTAACAACCTGGAAGGTCAGATTTGAATTTGAAATTCTTGTACTCTCTGGAGTTTTGTGCCAGGGTGGTAGATTGGAGAGAGCTGGTCCCCTGGCCCTGGCCTTCTGCACCCCTTCGCTTCCCATCTGAGCTCTGTCCTGCACTGAGAGGAGCCTGGTGCACATGCTTATAAACACCCACAGCCCACCAGACCAAGCCCTATTCATACCTCCCAAGCTGTTTCCTCCTGTGTTCCTCCTAAATGGGGTTGGGCCAGGTCTCTGGACCAGGGGGATTTCAGAGGTAGGGCTGTGCACAGAGCATAAGGGAGAAGGGTAGACCCAGAAAGAGGAATTGAAGGCCGAGTTCATGAGGGCAAATCAAGAATAAGAACCCGACTCTGAAGGAGGCCAGTCACAGGGAATGGCCAAGGAGAACAGGCAGGGTGAGGAAGTGGCCAGAGAAAGATTCTCCAAGGCAACTGTAGAGATCTGCCTTGGCTGGGACAACAGATACATTCTGGATGCTCTCTTTGTCATCCCTCACATCCAAGCAGTTAGGCTTTCCATTTTCTTATTAAATAATGTGAATGGATTTCTCTCTACCTGTAGCTCATGCTGTCGTCTCCCACCTGGATGACTGCAACAGCCTCAGTCTAATCCATCTCCCTGTCTCAGTCTACTCTACTCTCCCTCCAATCCGTTTTCCCCGTAGCATCTGGGATAACATTTCTGAGGCACAAACATGATTATTCTCTGTTAGAAACCACCAGTTTCGGCTGGGCATGGTGGCTCATCCCTGTAATCCCAGCACTTTGGGAGGCCAAGGCGGGCAGGTCACCTGAAGTCAGGAGTTTGAGGCCAGCCTGACCAATATGGAGAAACCTCGTCTCTACTAAAAAAATACAAAATTAGCCAGGCGTGGTGGTGCATGCCTGTAGTCCCAGCTACTCGGGAGGCTGAGGCAGGAGAATTGCTTGAACTAGGGAGGCGGAGGTTGCAGTGAGCCGAGATTGCGCCATTACACTCCAGCCTGGGCAACAAGAGTGAAACTCCGAAACTCTGTCTCAAAAAAAAAAAAAGAAAGGAAGAAAGAAAAGAAAAGAAAAGAAAAAAGAAACCACCAGTGTCTTCTTAGTGCCTTTAGGAGCAAGTCCAAGCTCCTCAGCATGTCATTTGCCGTCCTTGGTGATCTGACCCCTCTGGCTGCATTGTTCACCTCTCCCTGGCCCCTGTCACACATGAACACACCACACACACACACCATATATACTCACATAATCAGACACACACCAACATACACTCAAACACCCACATAACACATACATACCACATACACTCTTACATACATTCACAGACACAGCAACTCACAAACACACACACAGCCATATGCACACATTCACTCACAAATCACACACTGTCAAAGCAGACACACCATATCCTCTCACACACACATGCACATTTTTTTTAGACGAAGTCTTGCTCTTATTGCACAGGCTGGAGTGCAGTGGCGCAATTTAGGCTCACTGCAACCTCCACCTCCCAGGTACAAGCGATTCTCCTGCCTCAGCCTCCCAAGTAGCTGAGATTACAGGCACCTGCCACCATGTCCAGCTAATCTTCCTTTCTTCCTTCCTTCCTTCCTTCCTTCCTTCCTTCCTTCCTTCCTTCCTTTCTTTTTCTTTCTTTCTTTCTTTTCTTTTTCTTTCTTTCTTTCCCTTCCTTCCTTCCTTCTTTTCTTTCTTTCTTTTCTTTCTTTTCTTTCTTTCCTTTCTTTCCTTTCTCTCCTTTCTCTCCTTTCTCTCCTTTCCTTCTTTCCTTCTTTCTTTCTTTCTTTTTTTCTTTTTTGAGACAGAGCCTCAAAAGTCTCCAGCCCAGGCTGGAGTGCAGCGGCACGATCTCTGCTCACTGCAAGCTCTGCCTCCCGGGTTCATGCCATTCTTGCCATTCTCCCGCTTCAAGCCTCCCGAGTAGCTAGGACTACAGGTGTCCCCACCACACCCGGCTAATTTTGTTTTTGTATTTTTAGTAGAGACGGGTTTTCACTGTGTAAGCTAGGATGGTCTCGATCTCCTGACCTCGTGAGCCCCCCACCTCAGCCTCCCAAAGTGCCAGAATTACAGGCGTGAGCCACTGCGCCCCGCCCATTTTTTCTTTTTTCTTTTTTTTCTTTTTTTTGAGACAGAGTCTCATTCAATTGCCCAGGCTGGAGTGCAGTGGCACAATCTTGGCTCATTGCAACCTCTGCCTTGCGAGCTCAAGCCATTCTCCTGCCTCAGCCTCCCGAGTAGATGGGATTACAGGCGTGTGCCAACACACCTGGCTGATTTTTGTATTTTTAGTAGAGATGGGGTTTTACCATGTTGGCCAGGCTGGTCTTGAACTCCTGACCTCAGGTGATCCGCCCATCTTAGCCTCCCAAAGTGCTGGCATTACAGGCGTGAGCCACTGTGCCCGGCCCACATTTTCCTTCTTTTCATTTTTATTTTGTATGTTTTATTTTTAAAAAATTTTAAATATTTGGAAATTACATTTAATTTTCTTTTTACAGTACTGCTCCCTGTGCTAGGCGCGGTGGCTCATGTCTGTAATCTCAATACTTTGGGAGGCCGAGGTGGGCAGATTACCTGAGGTCAGAAGTTTGAGACCAGCGTGGCCAACATGGTGAAACTCCATCTCTACTAAAAAAAAAAACCAGAAAAAAAAAAAAAGAAAAATTAGCCGGGTGTACTGGCACGTACCTGTAATCTCAGCTACTCAGGAGGCTGAGGCAGGAGAATCGTTTTAACCCAGGAAGCAGAGGTTGCGGTGAGCTGAGATTGTGCCACTGCACTCCAGCCTGATTGACAGAGCAAGACTCTGTCTCAAAAAAAAAAAAAAAAAATTAAATATTTAAAAATTAGATTTAATTTTCTTTTTACAGCACTGCTCCTTGTGAACAAGGCTAACTCCTAGGCAGTATGCCCAGAGTCAGCATCATGCACATTTTCCTATACACATTCATACACACTCATTCACACACCCATACCACACACTCCATACTTACACTACAGAGTATGTGTGGTGCATAAGTGTGTACCACACATACTCTCATACCACATTCACACACATATACCCACATTACACACACACACATGGGTCGGGGCTTTAATTGCACATCTGTTTCTCATTCCTGCAATCCCTGGGGCCAGGCATTTGTATGAGTAACTTCTACTTGTGGCATGCTCCTTTCCCCTTCACAACCAGTTGGCTGGGCTCACCTCCTCCAGGAAGCTTTTCCTCACCCTCAAAACTTGACCTTTGGGGAGGTGGAAGATCTGAAGTGGTCCAAGGATTCCCTTAAGAATGAAAGCTGGGAGGAGAGGGCTTGCTTGGTTAGCCTGGGAGTACGAAACCAGAGTCTAGCTTCTTAAACAGGAAAATTTTCTTTCCTTCCTTCCTTCCTTCCTTCCTTCCTTCCTTCCTTCCTTCCTTCCTTCCTTCCTTCCTTCCTTCTTTCTTTCCTTCTTCTTCTTCCTCCTCCTTCTCCTCCTCCTCCTTCTCCTTCTTCTCCTTATTCTTCTTCTTCCCCTTTTCCCCTTCCTCGTCTTCTTCTTCTTCTCCTCCTTCTCCCCTCCTTCCTTCCTTCCTTCCTTCCCTCCCTCCTTCCTTCCTTCCTTCCTTCCTTCCTTCCTTCCTTCCTTCTTTCTTCTTTCTTTCTTTTGAAATTTCACTCTTTTGGCCCAGGCTATAGTGCAATGGCACCACCTCGGCTCACTGCAACCTCTACCTCCCGGTTCAAGGGATTCTCTTGTCTCAGCCTCCCGAGTAGCTGGGACCACAGGTGTGTGCCACCATACCTGGCTAACTTTTTGTATTTTTAGTAGAGATGGGATTTCACTATGTTGGCCAGGCTGGTCTCAAACTCTTGACCTCAGGTGATCCACCCACCTTGGCCTCCCAAAGTGCTGGGATTCCTGGGTGAGCCACTGCACTCAGCCTATTATTAGTTTTTGAGATAGAGTCTCGCCTTGTCAACTAGGCTGGAGTGCAGTGGTGTGATCTTGGCTCATTGCAAACTCCAGCTCTCAGGTTCAAGTGATTCTCCTGCCTCAGCCTCCTGAGTAGCTGGGATTATAGGCATGAACCACCAGGTCCAGAAAATTTTTGTGTTTTTAGTAGAGACGGGGTTTCGCCATGTTGGCCAGGTTGATCTCAAACTCCTGACCTCAGGTGATCTGCTTGCCTCGGCTTCCCAAAGTGCTGGGATTACAGGCGTGAGCCACCGCACCTGGCCCCATGTGCATGATTTTTTTTACCCTGTCTGTTGTCTCTGTGTCACTAGAGGTGTAACATTTAAAACGAGGTGTCTGTGTGCTCGTGATCAGCGTGGGGGAACTGGAGACCAGTCCTATGCCACAGTCAGGTTGTATGGCAGGGAACTCAGTGGGTAGGGAGCAGGGAATTAAGACAGGAGGGGAGTGAGCACAAGCCTGAAGGGCTTTACCCTCTGGAAACACCCAAGTTAACCAGCATGTCTAGTTTGGAGTGAGTCAAGTTCCAGTGACTCACTGAGCCTGCAGGATCTGTAGGGGATCTTGACTTCTAGTGGAGTGTTGAAGCTGTGCTGTGGGTAGGCTGGTTGAGGGTGGAGGGACAGGTCCTGGACCCACAGCCTGGGAGCAGCCTCCACTAAGATGAGCCAGGGGTGTGGACAAGATGGCTTGGGAATTCAGAAAGAGGGGCACGGAGGAGAGCTATCGATCTCAGATGCCATGCGAAGGTGAAGGATGCAGCACCCAGGAAGCCGCTTGTGACCGTTCTAGAGCAGCAGTGCCAGGGTTCATTGCCAAGCTGCAGAGGAGCAAGGAGGAGGGCATTCCCTCCATGACCTCCTGAGACCTCAGCACACCGAGTCTGTCCTCTCTGGTGCATACCCGCTTCCCTCCCCACTCTCATGGGACCAAGGCCTCTTACCATTGCTCTGGCGTGAGGGAAGGCCTGCTGTTGCCTCACCAAGCCCAGTCGTGAACCCGCTGATGCCGAGCCCGCCTGCCTGAGTCTTGATCGCTGACTTGAGCTCGTGATTCTCCCGAATGAGCCGCACCAGCTTCTTCAGTTCCTCATTTTCCCGCACCAGCCTCTCTATCTGATGCCGAAGCCCCTCATAATTGGTGAGTAGAGACATGCCCTGGGGCAGTGGGAAGGGTGTGGCCTACGGGAGGGCACTGCACCTGGAGGCTGCCCAGGGCCCCGGGCCTTGCCCGGGCTGAAGGAGGGTGCAGAGTCTGCAAGGCTGGCCCAGCGGGCCCTGGGTATTGTGAGGTCAGAAGCTGTGCCCTCCTCCTTGCCCTCTCTGCTCTAACACACTCAGCTCTCCATGCCACCAGGCCTATGCACAGGCCTTGCCCTGGCCTGGAATGTCCTGACCTTTTCTCTCTGGCCAACTTCACCCTCACAGTGCCTCTTCTGTGAAACTTCCTCTCACCCACCGCAAGTTAATTGCTGCCCGCTGGGTTTCCCCAGCAGATGTGTCCTGCGTCATAGCACTTCCCTCGGTTCCAGTTCCGTGCTAGTTCCTTAACGCTGTCCACTGGCTTTACAGTAAGGTCAGGGATTGTAACACGTTCCTGGAAACCCCAGTGTCCAGCAAAGGGCTTGGCACAAGGTTTGTAGGTAACCAGTAAATATTTGTTGAACGAAAACCCACCACTCCACCTTCCTGGCCAGAATGCCCCTTCCTTGTGATCTTGAACATGCCTGGGTTTGACCTCTCAGCCTTCTCCTGGGATGCTGTGTCTTGAAGGCCTGGACACTCGCCCATGATTTCTTCTGACCCAGGTGCTCAGAGTCTCTATCTTACTGCTGGTCCAGGAGCTCTCTACAACTTGGAGTTTCCATTTCTGGTGACTCAGGGTTCTCTATTCAAAATCTCCCATCGGTGCCTTCTCTGTACTTGGATCTCTATTCCTCAGCTCCTTGAATTTTCCTGACTTTAGTCCTTCAAGAAACCAAGACTGTATCCCTCACTTGGCTCTAAGAACTCAGGACTCAGTCCTCATCATGCTACCCTTCTCTTAGCGCTATCTGCAGATAACTCTACGGTCCTGACCTTGAGTACTGAGTGAGGCCGTGTCCTAGTGGCCTCCACTGGCTCTGTGGCTGTTCTACCTCAAACCTCTTTTTAGGGCAGGGAGAGGATAGCAAAGTCCAGAGGGCAGACTCCTGGTAGAATGTGGGAATGAGGAAGGGGAAGAAGGTCAGCCAGGGCTGGGATCAGTCTGAGTTGAGCATTCTACCTGGACCTCACAATGGGGGGCCTACCCCTACCCTTCCTCTAATGCTTCAAACTGTAATCCTGGCTCAGTCACTCTGGCCCCAGGGACCAGAGTCCCCAAGAACCAGAGTTGAGGTCTCTTAAGTCATCCCTCTAACTTTATAGAGTGTATCTGTTGGGTTTTCCTTCAACATGTGAAAATTAGCTTATCATGGTCTTATTTCACTGTTGGCCTCTTGGGTTGATGCAGTCTGTTATGGTTACATTTTATGTGTCAATTTTGCTAGGCTATAGTGTCCAGGTGTTTGGTCAAAATCTAGCCTAGACATTGCTGTGAAGCTATCATATACCTAGACATTGCTGTGAAGCTATTATGTTGACTTTAAGTAAAGGAGATTACCTTCAGTCATTTGGGTGGGCCTCATCCATTCAGTTGAATCACTTTTTAAAAATTTATTTTTTTAATTTTGAAATTTGTTTATTTATTTCCTTACTTATTGATTTACTTTTTTTGAGGCAAGGTCTCAGTCTGTTGCCTAGGCTGCAATGCAGTGTCACCATCATAGCTCACTGCAGCCTCGACCTCCCATGATCAAGCAATCCTCCTGCCTCAGCCTCCCAAGTAGCTGAGACTACAGGTGTGTGCGACCACACTCAGCTAATTTTTATTTAAAACATTTTTTTGTAGAGATGGGGTCTTACCACATTGGCCAGGCAGGCCTCAAACTCTTGGGCTTAAGCAATCCTCCTGCCTCAGCCTCCCAAAGTGCTGGAATTATAGGTGTGAGCTACTGTGCCTGGCAGAAGAACTTAAGAGTGAAAAAAACCTGAAGTTTTCTGGAAAAGAAGGAATTCTGCCTGAAGATTGTAGCATAGAAATCCTGCCTGAGTTTCCAGCCTGCCTTACAGATTTTGGACTTGCCAGCCCCCACAATTATGTGACCAAGCCCTTAAAATAAATCTCCTAATATAACAGAACTCTGACTGATGCACCATCTCTATTTCCTTTTGTATATGCCAGTGTTGTCACCGACTGTGGCAGGCATTGTGTTAGGAATTGGGGGTTCAGTGCTAGTCATAGCAGGCATTGTCCCCACCTTATTGACTTTACCAGCTAGTGGGGAGTGGCTATGTATTGAATGATCATGTATAAATGCTGAGTTTACCCTGTGATAAATGCTGCCTGGGAGAGGCACTGGTGCTGGGAGAGGGTACAGCAGGTGGGCCAGATCCAGTTGGGGAGTGTGCTTCACCAAAGAAATCAAAAGTGTGGTGGAGCAGAGAATGAGCAGGGTGGGTGTATGTGCTTGGGAGGGATGGAGGGCCCAGGTCGGGACAGGGCCTGTGGCTATGATCTTGATTGATCTTTAAGGAGGGGCATGTGGGAACAGATTGGAGGGAAGAAGCTACTGAGTGGCACACAGTAAGGAGGCCACTGCAGTCATCCAAACAAGCAGTGAGGGTGGCTGGTTCACAGGTGGTGCTGTGGAGGTGGAGACAGTCGGCAGAGCTGAGAAATGTTTAGTGGTACTGCATGGGCTGGTCTTGGAGTTGGCCTGGATGTGGAGATGAAGGCGAGAATGAGGGCAGGATGGCCTTGCAGTTTCTGGCATGAGTGGTGGAGCCTCTGATTATAACAACCCAGTTGGAAGGAAAACCAAGTTTAGAGTGAATATTCGGAGTCAGGTTTGGATGTGCTGCGGAGATCAGGATGTTAAGGAGATGTGCCAGGAGGCAGGGGTTACTGCTCCAGGTCCCAGAGGAGAACCGACTGTGTGGGCTGGAAAGATACACGTTAGAGGTATCAGCTCCTAGATGGCAACTGGATCCGTATGAGCGGATGAGGTTGCCCAGGAATTGGGAACAAATGAGAGAGAATAAGCCTTCGGCCCACAGTGCCTAGCAGAGCCAGGACAAAGCTGCAGAGGACATAGAGCAGAAGTGTCCATAGCGACAGGAAAACTGGAGAAGGCTGAGCTGCAGAGGCCACAGGCAGAGGATATTTCAAGGTTATGTGAAGCAGCAGTGGTGTCTAGTGAGGCTGAGAGGTCAGATGAGACGAAGACTGAAAAAAAAGTGTGCATCAGCTTTAGGGACTTGAAAGTCATTGGTGATGCATCAAGGGCTATTTGGGTGAAGTGGTTTGGCCAAGTCCAGATTCACAAGTCTGAAAAGTGAGTGGGAGGGTAAGGTGGAGATAGGGCACACACAGCCCTTCCCAGTGGTTTGGTTGTACGGAGAAGTGCAGGCAGAGCTGCAGGCAGGTTCCTCCTTCACTGTTCTCTTCCTCCTCTTGTAGCCTGGTGCCAGGGAAGACTGTGGCCCACCATGCCTCTGCTGCTTCCAGCCCCTCCTTGGAGTCACAATGCACAGTAGAGGCCCTCAAAAGACCTCCAGGGTCTCCCAGAATGTTAGGCTGCAGCCTCCTGCTCCTTTCTTTGAATTAACCTCCGCCAGGCTTCCTCTTCTCCCCTTACTCTTATTTCCTCTTCATTCAAATTTTCGTTTTCTTTTTGTTATGTTGTATATACAAAGTGTCCTTTGGTATCCAAGTCTATTGGGTTTGAGCTTGGTATAAAGAGTACCACAGGTTTTGGAGTGAGGTCCATCCAGAAATGTATCCACATCCATTTGGATGATATGTCTGGGGCTGGCGTCTTGGGAGTAAGAGACACTGGGCCCTCTATGATGCTCTCAGTCCTGCCCTTCTGAGCTCTTGGACAGTCACTTGGGAACAGACCTAGTTCCTGGCTGCAGGGAGGCTGGGCCCGCAGGAGTGACAGGAACCTCCTGGGGTGCACTCGGGGTTTGCACTCCTCACGGCCCGCCCGTTAGGGGCTCATTGTGAACAAACCTCCAGTGTTGTCCCACTTGCTTTTGCTGAGTCAGATCTCCTCCTTCCTGTCCTGGGTCACTGGCTTGCACAGTTTGTCCCCATTCAAATTTGCTTCATTTGATTCCGCTCAGCATTTCAGCTTGGCAAGGCCTTCAGGGATCTTTGCTCCTTTCTTGGCTTGAGATTCTCTGCGTGTTTAACAAGTTTCCTTCTGAAGCCGTCTTTTCAAGGCATAAAGTTGCCAAAGAACGGGGGCCTGTAGCCGGGAGCCCTCTGTTCCATCCACCTGACAGGCCCTAACGTGCTGCCTCTGTGCTGGGTGTGCTGAGAGGCACCTCCTGGGAAGCAGCAATCCGCTACATGTCCGAGCAGTACTGGCCACGTGAACATTTCAATCCTGCCTGCTGTGGCCATTTTGAACCTCCGGGTCTGCCTGTTGCTGACGAGGAGCTGCCGGGAGGAGCTGTCCAGTCCGTGCTCCCACAGATTCAGTTGGCATTTGACTGCCAGTGCCCTCCGGGACGTCGGCAGTGACTCCTCTCCATTGCTCTCCTACACTTCAGATGATGAAAGGGCCATGGCCGACATTATTGAGTGCTTGTTGTATACCAGGCACTGTTGTGACAGGCGTAACAAGCCCCCGAGGCAGGTAGTACCCCATCCAGCAGGCAGGGCCACTGAGGCATGGCCATGTCAAGTGCCTGGGCTCTCCCATGGGCCCTGGGTCTTTCAACATTTTCCCAGCTGTCAGGGTTAGGGCTTGGTGCAGGCAGCCTAGTCTTGCACTTGCTCTTCTCGCCTCTAGTCTCACCTCTTTTGCTTCAGCCTCTCTCTGCACAGCTGCCAAGAGTGGGGGGTGTGTCTTTCTGCCACCCCACTGGAGCTAGGCTCTGCTCAGAGGACGGACTTAGAGTGATGTCTCAGGAGAGGACAAGGGCCACAGCAAACTCTGCTCTGCATCCCAGAGCCCAAAGCACAGGCCCTGGCACATGGTAGGTACTCAGTAAATATATGAATGCATTTTTATTCAACCTTTTTCTTCCTTCTAAAAGAATTGCACCATGAAGCTGGAGAAGCTGCTGTATACCAGCAGTTGAAACAGACAGTATAATAACTGGCTTCTGAGTGTCTGAGGACATGCCCTTGGGTTTCTGAGGAAACCAATATCCCTTTGATGAGTCTGGAGGGCC